GGTGACTGCACTGTAACAGCCTCTTCAAATAATTTATAATCTGTGGATTTGTTATACAGTTATAAAAGTGACAAGATTTATTATATTTAAGGTGGTATTTTAAAGTAATTGATTTCATCAGTCAATTTTTGGTCCATGTAACCACTTATATTGCAGTCAGTTGCATTACTAATCAAGACTTCCAGTAGCAGTGCATATACAGGTAACTCAGTCTTTAGATTTTCACTGAACGTGCAATATTGCCCACACAAACCTGAGACACTATAATTACGCATTTTACACCACAGACTTAGTTGTTTAATAAAGCCTGCATACACTAGCTACACTGTGTAAAGGGGATATCAGTCATGCCACTTTGGATTTGAACATAACAAAACATTTATTCCACAGTGGGTTTTTTAATATGAAAATCCTCTTTGCTCTTAAAATAGTTTCTGCAAAAAGCCACACAACCTAGGTCCAGGTAAAACATTCATGCCTATAAATTATATCCATTACTGGGAGAATTTTAATACAGTAGGCAGTAATTATTTTCAATGTCTCTTAAAACTTGTACCAGAAAATATACATTTTCCATAAAATCAAAAAATAAAGTATCTGAAAATGTTCTGTGATCAATCTAGAAAAACGAGCCCAGTATTAAAAGTTAAATTCTGCTTTCACATATACAGTTTGAGACCAATGCATAGTATTTGTACAGGTGACAGAAGAGTTTGACTCCCTCTGCAAGATTAAAACGCAACAGCAAAGTATGCAGACTTTTATTTCACAAGTTTCACTTTGTCCTTCCGAACTTTAAATTTGGGATTGTTATTCACTTTCTTATTAAATGTGACAAGGATCTCCTCTTCTGATTTGTACTGTTCAGCAGCTACTGCGTAAAAATGAGCTATAACCTGCACAAAGACAGAGGAATAGTTTTTAGTTAGTAAAGATGACTCCACTTTAAGCAGTAATATGTTCATGTTACTGTATTAAAAGCAGCATAGAATCTGTGATCCTATTATTTCTTTGCAGAATTAGCACTGAATTTCTTCCGTAACTCAGTAAGCAATAAGGAACCCATCCTTCAGTTGACATTCTGTCAATTGATGTTCTGCTAAATAACGTCAAACCAGGATTTTACAAACTTCAGCATTACAGAAAGAAATTCACAAGACAAAAGGAGATTAAAAATCCCAATGTTTTACCATACCTTTTTTCTTAGTCTTTTAATTGAAATTTCGTTGTCTGGAGCCTGTCTCAGAACAGCTTTGATGGTTCCGTTCCAGTTGAATTTACCTAGAAAATAATTAGGTGTACAACACTGTTAGTAAAATTAGGCATTGCCAGGTCTTCTTCTCTAGTATAGTTAGGAAGGTCCTGTCTCCTCAAGCTTAGAGCATGGGCAGTCAAATACCACCTTCAGAGGTCGTTAATTGGTAGTTCCCAAATAACAATCTGTATGTTCAAGCAACAGCCTTAATGTGTTGGATGATAGGAAGAAGTAGCTTTATCCAAGCATAAACTGAGGTCTGACACATCTGAAATCCAATTTATGATTCACTGAGCAAAAATGGGGATATGAGAGATACCAGGAGGTCCAAGAGAGCTTTTTCCTTTTTCCTCTGTGCTGGCTAACGTGCAGGGAAGAGACTTGTGGTGGTGAAACAAACACACCAGATTCCTCACTGCTCAGTGGAACCAAATGTAGCCAGAGGTTGCCAGCACAACTGAAGCAACAACTGAGATAAGTAATTCAGGGTCAGATGTTAAGCGTAGCACAGGCTACTTACTATGACCTGGTGTGTATATTGAATATGCATTTATGTACGCTGCGGCAAAATGTATTTCATGGTTTCCTGCAGAAGTACTGTATTTATATTCTGCATTAGGTCTTTTAGTCTAAATTAACTAAATTGTCCTTTTAAGAATACCTTTATTAGTTCCCACACTTTTTTTGTTGTCATTGGTGTTTTCGGTTTTCATTTTCTTTGTTTTGATAGGAGGTTCCTCTGGAGCTGGAATTGGATAAACATACACAAAAAAATTTAAAACTAGAAGAAAAGTTCTGACACGACCTAAAGTTCTGTTCTTCTAACATGAATTTATATTTGCTTAGAGTTTCAGATTATACAAAAGAACTGTGCAATCACCGTTAAAAAATAATCTAATTTGTATATGCAACTTCCTACTTAAAAATTCTACTTAGGTAATTTATTAAGCTCTGGAACTGAGAAAAAGCATCTTCAAAACAAAGGAGAATATAAGTTGTATAACGAATACCTTCTACATGTTTATGTTTGCGTTTCTTTACTTTTGTTTCCTCTTCAACTTTACTCTGATGGCCATTTCCATTTGTTTCAAATTCATGTTTATGTTTGCGT